AAGCAACAGAGGGTCCTGTGGCACCTTTAAGACTAACAGAAGTATTGGGAGCATAAGCTTTCGTGGGTAAGAACCTCCCTTGCATCTGAAGAAGTAAGGTTCTTACCCACGAAAGACATTTTATGCTATAATTTGGGACTTAAGCTAAAATTGTTTCGGCATTTTTTGCCAAAAACCTTATTTATAACAGACATGCAGTTCTATCACTTCTCCCCGCCTCTGATGCATCACTGGGGCTGGTTCCTGGCTCCTTGAATATGTATAGCCAGATATATCACTGATTATGTGAAAATCATTACACAGTATTATTTATGCTCCCGAATCAGAATAAACTAACAGTATTTTTATATATGCCCATAGCAGAGATATTTGAGAAAAAGCTTTTTACCACTTTCACTCCATGTGATGGAAAGCAATTGCCTCTAAATGTGAACATGCCTTTAGTCAGGGTTTCACTTGTCATCGAGATTTTAGTAAATAAGTCCAACTCTTAAAGAGAACCCACTTTCAAATAGGTTCCTTGCTGACCTGATTGTACATTACTAGGATTACAGAACACAGCCTCCTTTCCCCTCACTCCTCAGAATACAGTACCATGGATCTTTGAACTAGTTTTAAAGTTAAGATTTATGGAAGTTTTCTAATTTTACACCATAATGGTATCCAACAGGTTTTTTTGTTTGTTTGTTTGTTTTAACGTAGGCTACATTGGTTGATAAGCAGAGTAGACCATATTTGCTGCACCATGACCAGTGTATTGCACCTGGGCATGTGTCTTATTCAACAATAATCAACCAATTTTTATGGAATGTTAACTAAAGTACAATAGTAGAGCAGATGTACTAGCTGTTTAGAAGAGGAGAGGTTATTTCCATTTCACATCTAGGCTTTGCAGAATTACATTTTAATTTTTGGTATAATTTTGATGGATAACATTTACTTAAACATTTTTCTTCACTTTATCAATTTAAATTTGTACAGTTGTGGGAAATTATGGGGGCTCAACAATTATTTAATGACAGTAGATATTGTGATTCAAAAAGTTAAACTGATAAAACACAAATTATCAACATCATATGCCTAAAAAAAGTAAATATTCTTAAATCAAACTCTAAAGTTCCCAAGTAACAATTTATTTTCCTATCTGTACATTTTTGATGATTGTATATATTACACACATGAAAATATTTCCATCACACACTGAAATCCACATTCACCAGTAAAAATCTAATCCTCCCAAGCCTATATATAGGGTATTAAAAATAGTGTTATGATAAGTATAAACCTGTTAAACTGCTGTAAAAAAAATTCACCTAATTCTACATGCCACACTTATCAAGCAGGTGTGTTGGTAACAGGGCAATAGTTCTTGAGGCACATGTGCATATCTCAATGTGTTCATTACAGCCTTTACATCCTTTAAAACTTGGAATTGTAGTGACAGGGCACGTGGTTGGAGCAAATATGTGACCTACAGGAAACCAACTATAAGGCTTCTCGCCTGTGGGACAGAGGGCAGCATAAAGGACCCCAAGGTAGCACCTCATGAGGTTCTCTCCACAGTAGCCAGGAGGGTTACTAAAGGCAAAGGTATGTTCTCTTTTCTTTGAGTGGGCAGAAGCTGGGAAAGTCTCCGGTGGTCAATGCCCTCTACTTTAAGTGTACTTGCTCTTGTTTTGAAATTCAGGTTTGAAAATGAAGCCAGCCCTGCAGAAAGGGTCATGCACTGAAGAGTTGTTGGGAGCTTTACAAACCTTCCCAGACAGTGAGTTTTCCCATCAGCTTACATATGTAAACAAAGAAACTTCTGTTATAAAAACCTTTCTAGGCAAGAGTCAGTGGATCACATGCAGAAGCAGTTGTATATACAGAGGTTGCATGCACTTTCCCCTATGTGCATCATATTTTGAATCTCATGCTAATTCACAGAATATAGAGTTTACAGCCTTTCATCTTGGTAAATGAGACTGAGGTTTTTTTTTAAAAAATAAATGGCAATTAAGTTCCCTCAGCATGAAACTGCTTGCTATTTACTGTCCTACACATACATCCTAGCAATGAACTCTGCCAAGGTTACCATGACAACCACCTATTACCATGTGTTGCCATGTTTTCCATATGTTCTTAACAGCTTCTGCTCATGTTTTTATCTTATACGTTCCCCTCCACTTTTCTCAATACTTCCTTTCTTCCAATTCACATATGTGCAATGAGGTTACAAGAATGCTATGCAAACTATCTTCACAAACACTGCTGTTAACCAAAATTCACTCACAAATGCTTATAAGACAACAACAAAGTGGATATAAATGTGGCCAAAATTATTTCAGGTTTTTTTAATTAAAGTAACCAGGTTATTTAAAAAAACAGTAAGCCCCTCTATTCTAATAATGGTAAATGAGTTGGAGGTGGTGTCTAGTGGAATGACAGATTAGTGTTATGTTTGGTCTTATTTAGCATCTTCATTAAAATATGAAGTTCGGGGTAAATAGCATGTAAATTGCATTCCCCGATAATAAAGAAGTACTGTTGTGAATGCCAATGAGGGCAGAAAAATATAAACAAGTACAGAGATTAGAAAAAAAGGAGATGGAAACAAAATGGGATTCAGTTTAGGTAAGTACAATGTATCTGAGGGAAATAATTGAACAGATAATGCTTTCAGAGGGTTTCCATCTCCCCAATATGTCAAAAGATTACTACAAATATTAGCGGCTTGGAAATATAAAACAGAATGAATTTGCAATAGAATACAGCATCAGAAATCTAACGAAGAATGCATATTCCGATTCCTCATAGCACAAAGCCAGGAGAGGATATTCTCTATACATCTCTAGTGAGATCATAGATATAATTTCCAGAAGTGCCTAACTTGCTTAGGAACCCAAGTCCTATTTTCCAAAGTGACTTAGGTACTCAGGAGCCTGAGGCTTGCTCATTAAAATGGGACTTTGACCTCACATCTGAAAATTAAATTCTGGAAACCAAAGTAAGGGAGATAAACAATGTAGGTGAAATCATGGACTATTCAAAGAGCAACTAATTTTTAAAAGGGTAAGGGATCACTTCTGAGGAAAAACCATAACAAATACATACTGTATTGGTGTCATGTTATAGGACAAACTGCATCTTAGACCACCTTCAGTCCCTCTCAAGTGCACCGTTTAGGCAACAGCAGGCTGCGCTTCTTGTACCTTATTCTGAGTAGAACCATACAGACTGGATGTCTGAGCTGCATGTTAATCCAGCAGGCCCAGCAGACTTTAGCACCTGAAAGCCCTCCCCCCAGGAGTTTGTAACAGCAGATGATTAAAGTTACTCTAAAACAACTTCTTTAAATAATTCTTCTTTTTGTTTTTTCACCTAAAAAGTACAAAGCCCACAGGGCCTGGGGATAAAACATGCATCTTTCCTTACCTAATCTCTTTATACATAGCTCAAATAAGGCCAGCTCATTCCCATCTCTGGGTTGGGAGAGCCAGCCTGCTTGCTAGGGGTCCCAGTGTTTCTCTCTCGCTGACTGTGCCAGTCCATTTGGGTGTCATCTGCAGTCTGCTGACAATTCACTTCTCTCTCCTTCCTGAGGTCAGCAGCTTTTTAGGTTTAGGCATCAGCCTTGGGAAGATTAAACTATGCCTGTCTTGATAGAACCAGATAGTAGCTACTTCTCAGTAGATGGCCCAGTCATTGTTATCTCAATGCCCTTCAAGCTGTTGGTCTCAGGTGTCTTACATTTGCCATTGTTGTTTCCTGCTGCTCTCTCTTCACAACCCTCCTTTGATTTAACTCCTGATAGGAAGGCACATTAATATCAATCCAATAATCTGAGGGGCATAGGACATTAATAAAAAATACCGCATAACTCCCTCATTCTCCACATTCTAAAGAATATAAAGATCCAATACAGAGAAGAATGGTATACCATAAAGTAAGTGCAGGACCAGACATGCTTTAGCATAGTAATAAGAGGTGTAATTCAGTTTTAATTAAGACTAGTCAGGGAAAGCCTTCTAGCAGCTGAAATAACCTTCCAAGAGGAGTGGTGGAAGTTCCATCATACAAGACATTTGAAATGAGAATGAATAAAGCACTACAAACTATATTGTATTTAAAAAGCCCTGCATTGATTGGGCAGCTGGACAAGTCTATATTAGGCTTATTCTGTCAGCTAAGGATGAATTAATCCCTGAACTAAATATTTAATGGTTGTCTAGGCACAAGTGATCGTGACCTAATTTCATTTATGTACATCTGGTAATACATATGCACATCATGCTTTGAAAGGGTTAATTTCCCAAAGCTGAAAGTAAACATGAGAAAAAGTGAGTGGGAGGAAAAAGTAAAACAAAAATGTGAATGACAATTGGGAGTTTAAGAATGTTTTAGTAGATGCTCCCAAAAAACAAAACAATTCCACAGGGCATAAGAAAATATATTAACATTTTTTTAAAAGGTTCTGGTTAAGAATATTTTGGGAAGTGAAAAGTTGCAATTAAGAATTAAAACAATTAAAGAAATGGAGAAATGGTGGCATTGATAGCAAGGAGTACAAATTGGTAATTAGGAGATAAAGACAATTGATATAGAAGGCTAAAAAGGTATCAATGAAAAGAAATCTATGGCCAGTAGAGTTAAGGACAATAAGAAGCATTTCCTTAAATATACCAGAACACTGGGCTACCATCATCCCAATACTTTGGAAGGGTAAATGCACCTCTGATGCTTGCTGTGGTTTGCCCATGGGATGCCCTCTTAAGTCTCAGGCCTCTAATCATCACCTTGCTCTGGCAAGGATCCACCTCCCACTTCTTCAAGACAAGTGATTTAGGCCCCAGCAAGTCTGACCTAGCTCAGCACACAGTTTGTTTTCTTTCAGAAGGCTATGAACAGTGTATGTCAGCAGTTACAAGTAACCAAACAGCTCTTCCAAAGCAGAGTGCACTTATTTAAGAACAAAAGCAGAGAAAACAATAAAAGGCTTAAATGCATACTAAACTTACCAGAAGTTTCTTATCTTCCACATCAGGGTCTGATAGGTCACAGCCTTTCAACCACTTCAGCAGGGTTTGTGCCTTTCCCACCCTGGGAAAAGGTTCATGTCCATTGGCTGCCTCAAACTGGGAGGGGGAGTCAGTTCAAGTTAGTCCTTTATACCCCCAGCTTGCTCTTTGTCTCCTGGGCCTCTTGAATCCTGTCTGAACCAGCACATGTAATTCATTTCAGTGAGTGGTGCTTCTCTGGAGTTATTTACAGGTTCCAAGGTTTGCAGTAATTATCCACCCCTGATTTTAGTTCCTGGATAGACCTTAATGCCACACACACTTAACTAGCCAGCATACAATAACTAGCTCACAAACATGCAGTGAATCTTTTACAAAGTTGAAACAATAGTCTCAAAAAGATATGTCTGTTAGTCATATTTGTCACAGGAATGACCCTGGTACTTATAAGCCAATTAACCCAACATCCATTGCATGCAATATAATAGAAAGAGTGATATAGGACACAATTAGTAAAGAATGAAATCATGGTAGCATAATCCATGGCAATCAACATGGTTTTATGGATAATAGCCCTTTTTAGACAATGTGATTGAGATCCTATATGTTTGATCCAAAAAAAAGTAATTATGTTGCCATAACATACTTAGATGTCTGTTAGGCATCCTGAAAAGCTGTCCTGCATGGCATTCTGATAAAATTAGCACTATATAAAGTTAACATAGCCCATATTAAGTGTATTAAAATTAAATGGATAGATTGATCTCAAAAAAGTAATTGTAAATGGAAAACTGAGTTTCCAGTCAGGTTCCAAAGGGATCTATTCTTGCCCCAAAACTATTCAATATCTTTCAGTAATCCAGAAGAAAATATAAAAGGATTGCTGATAAAATTTGCAGTGGGCATAACTGGTGGCATGCTAAATAATGATTGGCCAGGTCAATTATACAAACCAATCTAGATTAGGGTTACCATATTTCCTCATTAAAAAAAGAGGACACTCCACGGGGCCCTGGCCCCGCCCCCACCCCTTTCCCTTCCCCGCCTCAACTCTGCCCCTTCCCCGAAGTCCCCACCCCAACTCCGCCCCCTCTCCTGAGCACCCCGCATTCCCCCTCCTCCCTCCCAGCCGCAAAACAGCTGCCCGAGCGCTACCGGCTTCACGGTTTGCCGGGCAGCCCCCAGACCTCCAGACCCTGCGCCCCTGGTCGGGCGCTTCCCCTCCCGGGCTCTGGCTGAGGTGTCTGGGGGGAGAAGGAGCAACAGCAGCCGCCACGGGGGAATCCGCCTGCAGCTCACAGCCTGCGGGAGCCGCAAGGTAAGCAGGGATGCTGGCAAAGCTATTTTCCCAGACATGTTCGGCTTTTTGGCAATTCCCCCCAGACAGGGATTTGAGGACCAAAAAGGCAGACATGTCCGGGAAAAACTAGACATATGGTAACCCTACCTAACTGCCCCCCAGGACTCCACCCCCTACCTACGCCTCCCTACTCCTTGTCCCCTGACTGCCCCCTCCTGAGACCTCCCCCCCCATCCTAACTGGCCCCCTAGGACCCTATCCCCTGACTGCCCCCTCCTGAGACCCTCCCCCCATCCTAACTGGCCCCCTAGGACCCTATCCCCTGACTGCCCCCTCCTGAGACCCTCCCC